CTTCTTAACATTCTCTCACATGCCCAGACCTTAACTGGTGCGTAAACGCTTATAAATGGAGGTCCAACATCGGTGAACAACAATTGAGACGAGTCTAACTCTGATATGATATAAAGATATGACACCTGAGCCTAACTTAACTTCAAAAGTTAGCTCATGAGTGAAGATTTGTCCAAGTCCATACAAAGAGACCAATTTCTCATCCATCTACTGATGTGCAACTTCTTAACAAAACCAAAGAACAGAACTACGTGTGGGGCGTAGCACTACAACTCGAGTATATTAAGCTTTGATGGGGGGAGCAAAACAATGTGTGCAATGCAATTTTTCAAAATATAACAACATATTTACTGTAATTTCATAAATATGCTTTGAAAAGAGTGATGCGTACGCAATCTTATCGGCTAATCAAACTTTCATTCAATAAGGTTGGCTCATAATTAATATACAATATACCTGAAAAGAAGTAGGATATTGATGCTTTTGCCTTTGATCGGAGAAGTAAGTAGATATCCTGCAGACTTTACACAAAGTTGATCTATTTATATACTCCACAAACAGAGAAGTCTCTAATGATTTAAATATTGGGATTGGACAAAAAGTTATGCATGTATACAACTTTCTTACTGGCACAAAAGGTTAAGAAGAGGGTAATTAAATAGAAAAGTAAGAAGAAAGAATGATTGTCATTGAAGAATTATCTTATCCCATGCCTATACAGCTAGATTTTCACATGGCATAAACACATATACCTATGCCTTCATTTCAATGATCAACATAATACAAAAACATTTGGAATAAAAAAATGAAAAAAATAATATAGAAGAAGAATGTTGGAGATTAATTTTCTTGCATCTAAAATTGCTGTTTCTTGATTTGATATATTGTATCACTCTCTCACTTGCATTGATGAGTTGTGGGCTTAGATATTTTTTTGAAAAAAGATTTCAAGTGTATGTGTTAGAAAAATAATAAGGAAATACAATTGAAGAGAAGATGACTTTGATGCATGATGAATCACTTTTCTTAAAGAGATATTACACGTATACATATTGGAGAAAATACAAGCAATTATTTTTATGATACAACAAAGTCTTGTATATGTCTGCAGATTTTCTCTTAGAGTCTTTATATTTGTAGAACTTAAGAGATAATTTTTTATAATAGTCATGTTATTTCATAAACAAATGACTAATTTTCATAATAGTCATGTTCTTTCATGAACAGATGTGTATGTTCAATTTAAGACATCTATATATTACAAAATATCCAACTCTGGTGTGAAGGGAAAAAAATTCTAATTTTTTCATGTTTAATTAGTTAAAATGTTTTTTAAAATGATTCTTCTAGTGGGAGTAAAAAAACAAATTTCATAAGTGACATTTCAAACTCATTGTGTTCTTCCCACCCTCCACCCCTTCATCGCCAACAATCCCTACTCCGCCCTTATGGTAAATTATTGTTTTGTTTGAATTTGCTTCACTTAAACTTGATCGTTTTCCATCCTGTCAAATATTAAGAATTTATCGTCAATTTAATTATATCTAAGATAATTTAGAATATTAATTCAAAAGGCAAACAAGATATTGTGTGATCTGTGAATATCATCTTGGGGGGGGGGGGGGGGGGGATGTGAGGCCTTTCTTGTTGTCTATTATTTTTGGACTTGGGAGGTCCCTCTAGTAAAGCTTATAGGGCTACTCACCATATCTTACTACATATTACTCTCATGTTTTTTTGTCTCACAATTTAGAGAAATAAAAGACTAGACGTTTTTTGTTGTCATGTGCTTTTGCTTTTATACGTAGTCTGGTTGAAGAACAAGTTATTTAATTTCGAAGTTATAATGCAATTAATGAGACATGTTTTTTAATTATTGGAAGATATTTTAAGTTCATTTTGAACTTAAAATGGAATATATCGGATATGATATAAAGAAAATGTTTGATTTAATAAACCGGATAAACTGGAACAAACTTCTATTTTCAATTTATAACCTTGTTATGGTTGTAAAATGTTGAGATAAAAGCTATAGAGAAGGGAAAATGTGTCATTTCTTTTTTTTTTTATATCGAGATTGTTATAGAATTTACTATCTCAAAATTACTAATTCTAAAATAAAAAGTTGTATCAAATATGAAAAAAGAATAAGCCACATGAATTTATCTCGAGGTTATAATCACTTAGCCCACCAACCAAACAACCCCTGTAGTTTAATTTGTGCATATTATAATATCATTTTTTTATAGTAAAGTTAGATCCGATCGAATTACAATCAAATAGATAAGTTTTTCTACAGCAGAACATCATCCATAATTTCAAAGTTGGACCCATAGGAGTATATCTACCTACATCCACGTGTCAAGATGAAAATGAATTAGTAACTATAAAAATAAATCAGGCAACTCTTAATCAGAAGCGGAGATAGGTGGGGTTCCTGGTTCGGACGAACTCACTAACTTTTTCATAGACCGTGTATTTGTATTGAAAAATTAAATAAATATATATATATATTAACTTGTGAACCTCCTAAAAAAATTGATTGACAACTAGAAGTGGTAAGAAAAGGTGGTGAAAATGATTTTCACACTAGTGTTGTAGGTTCGAACCCCACTATCAATAAAAATGTCTCTTTACCTTTAAAAAAAATGCATGTTTTGCAATATTTTTCTCTTCTATCCTAAAATTTAGAACCCCCAAACTCCTAACTCTGGCTCTGCCTATGCTCTTACCTTAGGAAAATTTTGAACTCTTAAATCATTGAGTTAATCTTTACTTTTGTATTTGGGTGATTCAAAATCATATACCTATACGTAACAAATAAAAAAATTATCCTATATATACAATGTATTTTTTTAACGAGGGGGTTTGAATGAACACCCTCTTGACCCTAGATCCGCCCCTGCCTACTTATCCCCACTTCCTTCTTGTGTTTCTTTCACTACTATTTTTGACTGAATTGGTTCCTTTGTTTATATACCTAACAATGAAATGGTGGGGACAAACTAATGACAATATTAGCCAGAGAAATTAAAGGAGTGTTGGACCTTAGGGGCATGTGGTGATTAGATAAGTCATGTTTCAATGTTGGCACTAGAAGAATTAATTTATCTTTTCTTATAGTTTTTGTTTGTGGTGTTTATTAGGTTTTTGAGTAGTCAATTTACACTTCTATAGTCCACCAAAATCCAAATCATATCTAAGATATTGTATGTATGCAGAAAATTAATTAAGAAGATATTTCCATTGATCACTAGATAGGATCAATTTTGTCTAAATTCAACTCTATTGTCCTTCCAATAATTTTGGAAATAATGTAAGTTCATGGTAAATTATTTTAAGTTGTTATTGACTTATAACCTTTCAAGAAAACACTCTTCACTCTCTAGACCCGCCCTTAATTGAATAACCACTATATAAATCAACCTGATAAGGATCCTAAATGGGTAGAATTCGTACGACAAGGACATGTCTAGATCGTTTGTACAGACAGACTTTTTGGATGCTAAGATCCAAAGTCAAGAGAGAAACAACCTAAATCGTACGCTAAGATTCCTAAGCAGTCACTTAGTAGAAAAGAAAGTGATCGAGCGATGACAACCAGGATGTTCTAATTTTAAAAAAATTGGGTTAATTTGAAATATTTAATTCCAAGGGCATGGCCCACAAAGTTGGAGGACCCAATTCATGTTACCAGCTGTGCAGGTATTATGGGTCATGTGCTAGTTTACTCACATAAGCCCCAAAGAACGTTTCGGTGCTCTGTGGACCCTTCACTTCGATCAGTTTGGAAAGTGATCTGATAATTGAATTTAATTTAGTATAATCATACAAGAATACAAAATTAATAAGATCTCTATCCCATTCTTACGTAACAAATTATATATCTATCTTGTCGGTCCTCAATCTCGTTACGAATTACCATAACAAATTTTTCCTTATGATATCTAGATTTGTTATTTTAAGAGAATGATATAATAAAACGATCAAGATAAAATTCATTGAATTAAAGATTAGATGATTGAAATGAAGAAGTGCTAAATACAGGGTGTTATGTGATAGAATAATTAGAATGTCTATTAAAGTGAAAGATAAATTCTGCAAAATAGTTACAATACTAATATTATTATTGCACTGAATATTGGGTTGCTAGAGATGCAGTTAGATAAATATGTGGTAATACAAGATTAGATAGGAATAAAAATAGTATTGAGGATAAATTAAGAGAATTAGGTCGTTTAAGATGACATGGTCATATCTTATATCGACCTACATATGCAATGATTCATAAGTGTTAAATTATGGTGAGTGAAAGTATTAAAAACGAACGAGATAAACCTAAAATTATATGAAAGGAGGTCGTATGAAAAAACCTACCATTTCCTGAAATCAATACAAACTTAATTACAACTTATTTGATTAGACTTCTAATATCAGTTTATTTTGAATAGTACTTTATGCTAAATTAATCTACATTTAAGATATTGAAAATAGCTCATAACACCTTTTGTTAACCTTTGAGATCAAACAATAATCTTAACATTTTATTTTTCCACTCAAATCTACCCCTAAGGTATTGAAAATGATCGACTCAAAATGCTTTCTATTACTTGAAATTTAAAAAAATGACCTTAACGTTTTCTTTTCGACTCAGATCTACCATGACCAGCCACGAAAAATTCCAAAACTTTAAATTTCCACATGGCATCATCTAAATATACCACGTCTAACATTTATAATATCAATTAAACTCACACCATTTTAGCAAAGTAAATAGATAAATATAATTTAACATGTTCAAACTACTCACATAACAAATCACTCTTGTTACTATAATTTTTAATTTAATATTATCTGCGCATCGTGTAGATTTATTCATTCCTCTAACAAACTTCAAAAAATTAATCCGATTATGTCTCTTACTCACCAATTTTCTTCTCCATCATGAATTATTGTAAACAAACTCAACCATTTTAATTAATCTCTTCATAATAATTATAATGAGTGCTTCTCAACGTTCTCAACGGAATTTCATAACTTGGTTATTCGTTTTAATATTAATCATTTATCTTATTTACTCCACAAATTACATTCTTAACAATGATGATTGTTCTTCCAATATTGATGAAGTTGATCATCTTTCGACGAATAATAACACGTCTACGTTCACTCTTCAAGATGAAGAAAAAAACAAACAAAATGATGAATATTATAAAAATGTTCGAAAAAAAGAAGAGGAAACTAAGCTCAAACATGTTGTGTTTGGGATAGCTGGATCGTCGATTTTGTGGGATAAAAGGAAAGAGTATATTAAGTTATGGTGGAAACCAGGAGAGACAAGAGGTGTTGTTTGGTTAGATGAAAATGTCAAAATTAATAACAATGAAGCCCTACCTGATATTAGGATTTCAGGTGATCGCGATGACATGTTTGTTTTTATTTGTTTTCTGATATCGATGTTTCGATCTTTAGGTTTTTATCGTTGAAATTATTATACTTTTTGTAAACTCTATATGTCAAAAATGATGAGTTCATGAGTTGAACATTGGGTACCTTTTAAATAAATAATTACTGATTTTAGCAATACTTTTTATTTATTACCATTTATAGCAATACATAGCAATACTATGTTAAATCTACAATATGTATTAAAAGTGAATTATGTATGCAATATATATGGATTATAACTGTTTTTCTAAATATATTATGATTGTTTGTACTATAAGTGTATTAAAATGTGTGATAAATGTATTATCCATCAATAAAACTTGTATTATATGTGAATAATAAATTGTTCTTTGTAATATGTATTATAAATGTATTAAAAGTGATCAAGTGAAAAAAAAATGTTATTGCTATAAATGGTAAATATTTTTTAATGTAGTATATTTATTTATTATATACAAGTATTGATCCTTTTTTTTTCAGATGACACTACAAATTTTCATTACACGAATCGACAAGGGAGAAGATCGGCTCTAAGGATATCTAGGGTTGTTTCAGAGACGTTAAGGTTGGGTTTGAAAGACGTGAGATGGTTCGTGATGGGGGATGATGATACAGTATTTTTTGTGGAAAATGTAGTTAGGGTTTTATCAAAATATGATCATAACCAATATTACTATATTGGTAGCTCTTCAGAAAGTCATGTACAAAATATTTTTTTTTCATATTCAATGGCTTATGGTGGTGGTGGATTTGCAATTAGTTATCCATTGGCAAAAGAGTTAGAAAAAATGCAAGATAGTTGTATACAAAGATATCCTGGATTATATGGAAGTGATGATAGAGTTCAAGCTTGTATGGCTGAACTTGGTGTACCACTTACAAAAGAACGCGGATTTCATCAGGTAAAATTTTTATTTATACTGACAATATAAAGAATTTTTACACTATCGATCGATGTAAGTTTACGTATCATAGTAGGTTATTAATTTCGTAAATCATAAATAGTTATGTTTAATTAGTTATCATTTAGGTGACTTGAAATTCTCTATCAATTGATTGATATACTTGTTTTATTTGGACATTTGAGTTTACCTATCTATATAGGAGCATAGATCCCATGTGCAAATGAAACATATGATCACATAATTATATGGCAAATGGAATAAAGTCACCTTTCTTTTATCTTGTAACAAAAAAATCACTCAATTATCGATTGTTATGTTCCCCCGACACTTCAATAATTTATTTGTTGGATGCGTGTTAGATCCTCTAAAAAGTTGTGCATTTCTTGAAAATACAACACGGGTCAAGCAACATTGATTATAAGTTAAACTCAATTCTTATACATTTTGACTTTATCGTAAGTCATAGGCTATGTTGCTCAAACTCTTTAAAATAGTTGTCTGGCATATGTTGAATCCTTTGAAAAAATTGTATTTTTTGAGAATCCAACACGGATACAAGTTCATACAACTGTATTATCGGAGAATCAGAGTTACATAGATTATAAGTACTCTAAAACATTGGCTGAAATTGATGATCTTTTTTTGTTTTGTTTGTGGTAGTATAGTATAATGTATACATGGGAACTTATGGATGATAACTCATATGCTATGTTGCTCACTCTTAGAAAATATCATCAAATGTATGTCGGATCTCCAAAAGTATTACTTACATTTTGGAAAGTCCGAGCTACATAGAATTATAAGTACCCTAAAGCATTGGTTGAAATTGATGATTTTTTTTTTGTTTTGTTTTGTTTGTGGTAGTATAGTATGATGTATATGGGAACTTACTAGGCCTATTGGGAGCACATCCAGTAACACCACTAGTCTCACTTCATCATCTTGATGTAGTAGACCCAATATTCCCAGGAATTTCCAGGGTTAACGGTCTCCAACGCCTATTTGAATCATCGAAACTCGACTCAGCTAACCTAATGCAACAATCAATTTGCTATGACAAAGAGAGATATTGGTCAATTTCAGTGTCATGGGGCTATGTTGTTCAGATAATTAGAGGAAATGTTTCACCTAGAGAACTTGAAATGCCTTCAAGGACATTTCTCAATTGGTACAGAAGAGCAGATTACACTGCTTATGCATTCAACACTAGGCCTGTTACAAAACACCCTTGCCAGAAACCTTTTGTGTATTACATGAACACCGCGAAATTTGATCATTCGAGAAATCAGATTATTGGGATTTATTATAGACATAGAGAGTCTTCACCTTCTTGCAGATGGAAAATTGAGTCACCTGAGAATATCAACAGCATTGTTTTGTTGAAAAGACCAGATAACAACAGATGGCAAAAGGTACAATTTTTAACACTTCTATACATACATTTGTCGTATGGTGTCCAGATCAATTTGTGCATATCGACTATAACACCTTTTCGTATAATGTTTTTACTGGATCTTTTATTTTTCTTCTGGTGCAGTCTCCAAGGAGGGATTGTTGTGGTGTTTTACCATCAAACAATAACTCAAAGTCAAATTTGTACATGTGGGTAGGCAGTTGCAGAGATGGTGAAATCAGTGAATTGTAGCTGTTAGGGAGAGAGGCTTTACTTTATTTTTTTCTAGTTCATCTGTAGTTCGCTTTTTAGGCCATAGAAACTATCCAAACATTGGAAGTATAAAATGAAATTGCAACACCTGAATCATTCAATATACTCCCTGTGTAAACACCACACTAATTTACACCATTGTAACTTTTTGTACAAGTGAAATCTGTTACCAAATCAGATGACATATTATAGATTATATAGGCTATTTTGCCTTGAAATCACATTCTATATGTCTTATTTTTTTGTGCAAGTAAAGACTAGCAAGGCATTCTCTTGCACCAATTCCTCTCTCACAAACAAAGCTAACAGCTGTGGCAATATCTGTTTTGGAGACTGATAATACGATAACATGAGTTTCAGCTAGCAACTGTTGCATCTCAATCGAATGCATAGAAGGAATACTTCCTCAACAACAACAGAAGTTGAATGAAATCACAGTGTAAGTTAAATAGCATGAATTTCTTACAAAGGTGTAACATATGGTACCGAAAGGTTCTAAAGGAAGTCCAAAGAGAGCATTTTTAGCATTCTAAATGCACTGGAAATGTTACAACTCTCACCAATGAATCGGTCTTGGATCAAATTACAATAAACAGTGAAAATTTAATAATGTTCAGTATAGTAACGAATACACGCTGTGTAATATCTTCAAAGTAGCAAACTAAAAATGCAGGAAGCTCATCACCACATGTAAGCTAAAACGACTGGAGACATCTTCTCTGCAGAATCATCTGGTTAACATTGATATTAAGGATAAGAATATGGAAGTTGAGAGATTAATGATGTCAAGGTTTACAACTAACAAGTTCATAGGGCTCAAGAAAACATTCTCATCTATGTTAGACAGGTAGTTTGTCAACAAAGTGAACTATCAGAATATCCAGATCAGAAACTAATATATGAATCATGGACTAGATAAAACCAATTCATTTCCCAGAAGTAGTAAGAAAAAACACTACATAAAGTATAATGTAAATCATAAACTGCAACATAAGTTCAACTGGTCAAGTACAACTGCTATGAGCTTGAACACATAATGTATAGTTTATGGGTTAGAATATTGCTTACTGATAGCCAAACTTCTGTGCCCTAATCACAAAATGGAGTGAGATCAATTTTGAACTGCTGCTTCCCCTTGCTAACTCTCTGTAAGAAATGTGATATCAGGAAAAAAAAAAAAAAGAATAACTGCTAAGTGCTTGGAAGAAAGGAACACAGAGATATACAAAAAATGCTAGAAGCATAAGCTAAATGACAACATATACCACCATTAAGTAGTTTGATTTCTTTGTTCCTTGTATTTACCAACATCTATTTATTGTTTTAATTCACTGATTTTTTCTGTAAAATCCAAAAGTTTTCAGAAAGGCAACTTTTATGAGTTTTACTCATGTTTTCATGAAAGGGAGCCTTGGACAATTGTTAACTTGTCTCCGTGTGACCTAGAGATCATGGGTTCGAACTGTGGAACCAACCAATGATGCTTGTGTCATGGCAGGTTTGTACAGTACACCCCCTTGGTGTGCAGTCCTTCAACCCTGCATGAGTGCGGGATGCTTCATATCGAGCTGTCATTTTTTCATTTATAGTATTCTAATAACAATTAATATATCACTTTGCCAACTACTTCCTCCATTTCTATTACTTGGCACATGTTGACCTGACACATTCCTTAAGAAAGCTATAATTAGAGGTATATTTTTACTAAACTAACCTTATTAATGATGCTTTAGAACTTTAAATTTGACTACTACTTTATGTAGCTATTTAATACTAAGGGTAATATGGGAAAAAAGTGATAAAACTCTCTTGATTTCTGAAATGGACAAGTAAAATGAAACATCTATTTCTGGTATAAGGGCCAAGTAAAATGAAATAGAGGGAGTATATTTATTTTCTGGCGCTGCTTTCGCAAAGACAACCTGTGGGGAGACGAGGGGCATGCATTAATGCTTTGATATCTGCATTAAAGTGCCATTTAAGAGAGACAATTGTCCAACTTAAACTTCACCAAGTTATTTGGTTAAAACGCACATCAAATGAGCATTCAACTCCACTGCAAAGTAGCCAGATGTTCCAAAATTATAGTCTTGGAAATACCCTTGTGGAACAGGGAACTACATCTACATCTCCTAACAACCCTCTTCAACTCTGGTATAGACCATAGCATCCACACCGGCATCATTCTAGGGTCAACAGGCAACAGAAGATGCTAAAATTGGCAACTACAGACTACTTATTAATTAGGTTAGAGGAATTAGGAAAACAAAAAACATAATTGAAATAAAGAAAAATTAGCAAATGTTTTGGATAAATGACATAAGAAAAAATTAAAAAGAAAAAAATATAGAAGAGGAAAACTAGGAAATACAAAATTTTGATTAACCTACTCTTTTATGCATTTCTCCTATCTTTTCCCTCCTATGTCATATACTTCAAGCACCAAATATGCCTGCTATAGCTTAACACAACCTACTCAAACGCCCAGTGTTTTGGATATACCATAGCACCTTAACAGTCTCCCTATATCTTCTACAACTGTTGGTACTTGGAAGCTTAGCTTCATTTATTTATGCAACAAAGAGTGTCAAATATGCAATTCATGCTAAACAGAAATTGACTTACACCAAGCGTAACAAGCTCTTCTAGTAGTTCCTCCAGATGACGCAGAGGCTGAGTCAATACAAAGCATTGATCAAATTAATAGCTAAAATCAGAATGCCACAGTTTCATTTTAAGGGAAAAAAAGAGGATGTCCCAAAAGTCTCAACATATAATATAGTTTGCGTGTAACTTACCCACTGTGTTGGACCATCAACTGGAGCACTCAGAGGATCATTGTGCACCTAATGAAAAATATCTCTGATTCAGTTGAGCAGATTTTTTTTTGAGAATGAGTTCAGCAGAAAATTAAAGCAAGTTTTGACAAAACGGATATCCTAAAAGTTCAGGAATCTCAAGAAGGCTTGAAAGTTTTTCTTTTGAATGAATGCACCAGCTAAAGTAATATCACCGCATTTTGATTCCAACTCTCCAGTTCCTTTCACTCTCCTCTTAAGCAAGGAGTAAATATCTTTTTCTTAAACAAGAAGTGCAAGCAGATTGCAACTTTACAAATACCAGATGCTCTTTTATACCTCCATAAATATTCCATCTACTCCCACAGCAACAGCTGTCCTGGCAATACAAGGAATTAATTCACGAAGACCGCCACTAGCAACACCACCACCTTCCAGCTGTACAAGAATGCAGAACTTCAATTCATTGACATAGAATAAACTTTAACACTAGATCCTAGAAATGGTCTGGATTATGCGATTGAACTCATGATCTTAGAACGTTGAATTGGCTACTGGTTAATAGTTGAAATAAATTATTAACAGTTGATTCTGAGGCTTGAAAGATACAAACAGCACAAAGTCAGGATGATGTCATAATGAAAGAGAAGATAGGCAATTAGGGGTTGATTCTGTACACAGATGTGTCTAACATGATATGGAAGAAGGAATTTCTGCTAATTAAACCTAAAAAGCTTCAAACTAATTAAACTCCACGAGTCATAGTCATGGACTCAAAGTGAATGCTTATGCTGTCAATAAACTGCACATATCCATTACTGATCTGCTATGGTAAACTAGAATAGTTTCTCCTTTTCTTTCCAATTTATCAGTGCATAACATATCAAAGACTCCTCTAAAGATTTTCAGTACTCTCTAAGGAAGGGTAAAAGAACAATGCACCTTTTTGCCTGCAGGCTGTTGTAATGAATGAGTTATATCAGCAACCTGAGATATAAGAATGTAAATGAGAAAAAGGACATCCAAAAACAAATATCTATGTATAGAATAAGTGGATTCCTCCAGTTATTTTATCTGGGAATGTAATAATAAAATACAGTGACAAATAAGACTCTTACAACAGGGCAATTGGCCTCCCTCATCCACTCAAAGTTCCGTGGATCTACAATCAAGTCATCTGCAGAGTCAAATAATATATGTTAGATTTAAATACTTACGGTAAGACTCCTCCTTACCGAGTTTGGGAACAGCTATGCGTTGTGAAGGTCCTACAGATAAGAGTAATATCCACCCCATCCACCTAAACGTCTTGCCTTTACTGTTATATCAGGAATTACTCCACTTATTGCTCGACTTAAAACGAATAATGGATTTGCTTCTGTCTACACTAGGTCCCCACCCCAGAATCATTTTGCATCTGACCTTTTATGCACCTTTCATGAACACCGAGTTCATTTATCCTATGCTTAGCATTGCCCATTAGAAGATCAGTGCAGAAAATTATTCACAATGTACTTGTAAATCTTCAATACCTTCCTTTCCAGATTAAAAAAAAAAAAAAAACTGAAAATAACTTCTCAGAGACTTGCTTCCATCCAACTAGAAAAAATTAATAAGAAGAAACAAACTGAAGAAAACTTACTATAGCCAAACATTGTTCCTCTCTCACACACCATGACATTTTGATTTCCAGCCAATCTCACTTTTTCAGCAGAATTTAACATCACCTGAGAACATTGTAGCATAAGTAAAAAAACAGACAGAATATGAAACCCACGAGTGAATCCAAGATAAAGGACACAAATTTATCACTGTTTTGACAAGGGCAAGTGAAAGGAGAGCTAAAAAGAAACTGAAAAGAGGAACGTTACTTACTGATAGATCTAATTAAAAAAAAAAAAAAAAAAAAAAAAGGAAAGTTACTTACTGAAGAAGCACAAAACTGGCCCTTCTTAATGTTAATAACTTTTCCAGTCTTGGCAGCTGCAACAAGTAGGTCGGTCTGTCATAAAAAGCCAAAAAATAGATCAATATGGCTGCTTCCTGAGAAATGTATTTAAAATTTGGGCAGAAAAAGTCACAATATCTTTCTGAAAATGAAGATTATAACCTGCCTACATAAGAAAGCAGGAATTTGAATTATATCTGCAACCCGGCCAACAGCTTCACACTGAAAAAACACTGTTAGATGCAGTTCATATTGGAAGGGAAACT